TTGTTTTGATTTTTTTTTTACGTTACACCAGATCCTGGTTTTTAATTGGCCAATTGACCTCGGAAAATCACGTGACCTGAAAATCGATCCTACGCCCTGGTGTTGTTCACTATCCCTCATTTCATTTTAATCTGATTTCATTTTAATCTGCCACAATTACTATATTACAATCATATTCAATCATCGAAACGGGGCTTAAATCATGAGTTCTTAAGCGCATAATTATTTTGGGCCCTTATTTGTAATAATTTTCAAATATCAGGCCTCTATCTGTAACTATTTTCATTTTGGGCCCTTATTTGTAATTATTTTCGTCTTTGGGCCCTTATCTGTAAACACCCTAGTATTTAACACGATTTTAATAAAAACATAAGGCAAAACTTCACCTTAATATCAAAAAAATTCATTATATAAATGTTTTTTTATAAAGTTCAGTTACTTTAAATACAATGTTAAAACTATATAAAAATTTTAATTATGTATTTAAAGAGCTTAAAAATATAATTATTATATTAGTTGTTACTACTATAACTAAAGATATAATAAAAAATTTATTTGCAATTACTGCAACCAGATATAAATAATCGAAAAATAAAATTATATTTATAGCTTTATTAAATATTTTAAGTAACCAGCAAATAGCACAGTTTCTTTCTAATATACGGATTAAAATACAGACTAAAGTTTCTTTAATCTAGAAAACCAACTTTTTCTTAATTTAGATGTATTTTTAGTTTTATTAGGTTTAATTTTTATGGAATATATGTGTAAGCATTCGTTATACGCAAATGCATTATTTGGTTCAAGTTCCAATGATTTATTTAAATCCGCGAGTGATTCTTCATATTTACCAATCAATCGATAAGTTGCTCCACGGTTACGTAATGCGAATGCATTATTTGGTTCAAGTTCCAATGATTTATTTAAGTCTGCGAGTGATGCTTCATATTTACCCATCATTCGATAAGTTGTTCCACGGTTACGTAATGCGAATGCATTATTTAGTTCAAGTTCCAATGATTTATTTAAATCTGCAAGTGATTCTTCGTATTTATTCATCTGACGATAAGTTATTCCACGCTGCCTTAATGCCCATGCATCATTTGGATTAAGTTCCAATGATTTATTTAAATCCGCAAATGATTCTTCGTATTTATTCATATGACGATAAGTTACTCCACGCTGCCTTAATACCACTGCATCATTTGGTTTAATTTCCAACGATTTATTTAAATCTGCAAGTGATTCTTTGTATTTATTCATCTGACGATAAGTTGTTCCACGATCCCTTAATGCCCATGCATCATTTGGTTTAATTTCTAATGATTTATTTAAATCTGCAATTGATTCTTCATATTTATCCATCATGCCATAAGTTGCACCACGACGACTTAACGCGAATGCATCATCTGGTTCAATTTCTAAGGATTTATTTAAATCTGCGAGTGATTCTTCAAGTTTACCCATCATACGATAAGTATTTCCACGATTTTTTAACGCAAATGAATCATTTGGTTCAATTTCTAACGATTTATTTAAATCATCAAGTGATTCTATATATTTCTTCAAATAATAATATACTACACCGCGATTTTTTAATGCTAATGGATTATTTGGTTCGACATCTAATGATTTATTAAAATCTACAAGCGAATCTTCATATCTGCTCATTGTGCAATAAATTTCTCCACGGCTTATTAAAGCTGTTGTACTATTTGGATCGATTTCCAATAATTTATTTAGATCTAAAAGTCTTTTTTCATAATCACCCATTTCATAATAGTTTAGTGATGATGTAGGACTTTGCATTAAAATTCTATCTGTTGAATCAGAAATAAACAAACATCCTTGATCATCTAATCGAGTAGATCTATGAGTTTCTAATGTATTTGGGTCCTGAGTAATATTACTTATAGACTGTTTATCATTGGTAATTAATTTTTTTAGGTCTAAACAGACATGCTTAATATCTGGTCGATTATCAGGATCCTGTTGCCAGCAATCTATTTATTA